ATCGACTCCATTACATTTATTGATCACTAATAGAGATGTAAAAAAACGGTTTTTTTTTCAGATTTGAAAAAAAACATTGAAAAAAAAACCAGAAAAAAAACGTTTTTTTTGTTTTTTTTTCTAAATGATTCAAATGTAAAAAAGCAGGTTTTTTTCAGATTTGAAAAAAAAAACATGAAAAAAAAACAAGTTTTTGTGTTTTTTTTTTCAAAATAATTCAATTTCAAACTTCGTGAGTATCTCCAACCTCATCTTTAAGTAAAAAAAAATTGACATTTGACGACCCTGGAGACATAGTAGTTACAGTCTGAAAATTCTTCATACAGCGAAAGTGTCTTATATCAGTGATGTTCTGTTCTAGTATGTATGTTGTATAAATATGATGATTGTATGATCTGATATAATATGATAGTTCATACATGGATGTACCATGTACCTGACCTGAAAACATGTTTCATTTACATAAAAATAGGTCTGTTTCTGCAGAAATCACAAACCAGTCAGAGTGAATTTCATTGGTTGAAATTAGTTTTCTGACTGTTTATGACTGTTTTCAATCAATGAAATTCGCTCTGATTGGTTTGTGATTTCTGCAGAAACAGACCCAATATTGTTCCTATGTTATTTCTATATAGAATAAGACAATATTTTACGTTTTATCGATATTTCACTGCTTAAACCAATTTTTTGTCCCAAGAAAAGTTTAATTGGCAAAAAAGTAAAAAATGCGCATATGGTGCTAAGTTTAGAAAAAAAACACAAAATCTGAAAAAAAACCATTTGAAAAAAAACCATGAAAAAAAACTTGAAAAAAAACAAAAAAAACGGATTGTTTTTTTTCACGTTGCATCTCTAATCACTAATAACTTGTACTGAACTAAACCTAAATGAGGACAATTGAATGATCAAACAGTGGTCCTTCTTAACAATCTGAAAGTCCTACTGTTGCCTTCTTGGCATTTGCGCCGTCTTCGAGTAACTATTTTGTCATACATCAACGTGATAATATTTTAAAATAAAATAAAGTTTTATTTAATGCCTATGTGGAGGATCAGGAATAAAAATTAATCCTGTTTTCAGATAAATCAAAATGTAGGTACAGTGGCATAAACATCTACGTAATGCCGTTACTAGCCAAATAACTCGCCAATTAATGCAATCATAAAAATAAAATAAAGACTACCTAATAAACCCCGTAATAAACTATGTAAATAAGCGGTGGCAAATCGTTCAGCACTTATGAATGTTATTAGTTGATAAGTTAATATTATAATGTCAACAACAAACTTGTACGACCGGTATGATCGCCATATATTTATAATATGTACCTACATACATCGTATATATATTGATGAGGCGGCCGAACAGAAAACACCCTGTACAAATTTGTCGCAATTTAATTATTATGTTTTTCCTTTATGTATATTTATACCAATAATCGTGCTAATAATTAAAGGAACAATAATTAATATTTCATAATATAATAATGCAAGTAAGGTAACTCCCTGAAAAAACTCACTGTATTGGATACATCAGAATCAATGTATGCAATTCGAGTGAGTCATAAAAAAAAAACGGTTTAGGGAGCATTCAAGTTTCGCAGATACCCCAGCCGCAGAGGAGGCCCTTTGACGTCATCGGAATTTTTATTCTCGATAACATAAATTACGATTACTCATATTCCTTTCCATGCTCATTTTTTTTTGCATCTGGCCCTCCTTGGAAATTAGACTGGCTCACCCTCGTATAAAAATGACGTGACATAATATGAAACAATATATTGTGCAGCAAGTGTTGAAAATAGGACTATTCACACGCGTGGGGAAGCTTGGTGGCACGAGCAACATGGCCATTCAAGTTCATTTGAAATCAGTTAGTGACTGTCGATGACTGTCAAGGTATTTTCTTTGAGAGCAAACCTATATACATATTATAAACGTAGGTTTTCAGATGTCGTCGGCAAAATAAATATATACCTACTTCCTATCTTATTAGTAATTCGATTAGGAAAAGCCAAATATATTGATAACTAAAATATTATGATCTGATTGGATAGGCACAAATATCAAAGCTTATACAGTCACATATCACTTATCGATTTAATAGTCTATAAAGATTCACATTTAAGGCCAAACATAGAACATAAAAATTGTGCATTAAAACCAGATAATGACCTTTAGTTCTTTTATTGCCTGCCTAAGTGCTCCTACTGTTTACATGAAGTTTTTGTTGGTACCTACATACTTATTTCTTTAAAAAATTTCTGAGCATTTTACATTGTTTCAAAGTAAAGTTGTTTTTCATGTTGAACCGATAATATTTATGTTAGATAATGCCCATTGAACATGGAATTAAAGAATTATTAGAATTTTTTAGGGAAATCCGTCTGTAACTGTTATAAATGGTAATTGAAGGGTACCTACTAACCTTACTTTTTATCACCAAGTCGTTATATCATAAATTTCAATGAATCTGAATATAAATGCAATAATAATATTATGTAGTTATGAATCATAAATCTGAAATTAGTCATCTGATGAGTGATGACAAATGGAGATAGCTAAAATTTTATGCTATCAGCATTAATTAAATTATTTCAGTACAACTGAATGTAATGTATTATTCACATTTTGTTGTTTCACCACAAAATGATGTTTGCAATAAATTGTGGAGCATTGTTTACTCGGAAAATTCTAAATCGCGTTATAAATTATTGCTAATAATGGCTCAATGATGAATATAAAAATCATGGTCAAATCATGAAATCAAAATTTAATTTGATCAAATTTGCTGATCAGTAATATTTTAAGCTTTGTTCTTATTAAATTCTAATGCTTATGCCTGCTACTTATAACCTTGATTCTATTTAATAATCAAATTCTTGAAAAGGGACTAATATTGATTATGGTAATTTCCGTTCATAATATATAGTCGATTCATGTGCATTGGAACTTATTAGAATATTTATTGCTATGCTTATCTTATTCATAAACAACTTCGATTTTCCACGTTTCAAATGACTTATTGACTTGTTGGGCAACAAAAGTCAATATTGATTAATGTATATTGGATGCACTTTGGCCATGAATAGTAATGATTGTTCCTACTCTTGTTTCCTCAGGTTGTAAAAAAACTCAATTTCACCCAAGTACTTAGGTATAAATATCAAAAAACATATATATTTTTTTTTCTCGTTAAGAAATAAAATAATGCTTTTGTTATCAATCCTATCATTTCGACCAGACCCATTTTCTAGCAAATTTCATTCATTGATGTTTAATGTTTGTTCAAGTGTTTGTTACAAAAATTCAAATGAAGGGAAGTCGGATTTCTTGAAAATACTTATATAGTTGGAAATTATTTGCAAATAATGTTCTAAGAATGTGATTGGCTCTTTATGATTCCTTGTTTAAACCGAATAGATAGTACCAATTGTCATTATGAAGCAAACACAAAGGCACCAAATCTGCTGATTTTTTTTACAGAAAAGATCATTCCAAAGCATATCTCAGTGCTACTGCGTAATTTGCTTTTAGTGAATCATGTCGATAAAATTTTTAAACGACTACTCACCCACGCGTTCAATTATTTTTTAAGATCGCTTTCTTTATTCATGATCACGTTTGCAAAATTTGACATGTTTCCTGGAATTTAAATTAATTGTAATTTTTTGTTCAATTTCCTTGCAAAAACCTTATCATTTATTTTATATTACCAGTAAGTACCTTAGACAAAAAGACATGATTTGAAATCATTGAGTCGTGACATAAAAAAATGAGTACAGATTTACCTATCCTAGAAATTTTAGTGGTCTTCTATCAAATTGCTAATTTGAAACTTATGTTGTGATTTCCACAAAGTAGATTTCACCTAGGTTCTTAGCAGAGAGTTCTACTTATACAGTGTGTACTTTTCATGAATACACCCCAATATCTCTGTTCCGGTTAGTAGGTAGGTATTTAAATTTCAAATATCTCTATTTTATTCAACGACGCCTCTGGATTTATGAAAAAGAAAATCAAGAACTGGAGAAGAAAAAACAAAACAGAAGTAACCAAGCAAATCAAAAACAAGTAGACATCACTTTTTCAAAAAATAGAAAAAGTTTGTCAATTTGCACGCTGCCACGCATTTTATATTTAATTTTTGTCAATAAAACATTTTTCGAAGCTCGTCTGCAGTCCACTGTTTTCCCTGAGCACAGGGTGGTCCTTCGCCAGTTGAAATACACGCTCGAACATAAGAATCTCAGTTATTAAAATAATGCGATTTTGTTCAAATTTTTTGTGTGATTGCAGGTTAGAAAAATGAACTGTTTGACATAGTAAATATTTTTATTTACCATTGGCGTGTGGTGTTGGGGGGTGAAAAAGGGTTGTATTTTTGGGAAAAAGATTCAGCATCCCCAAAAACCCCTTAATTCATATGTATTTTCAACATCTGAAGAGGTGATTTTACCAAAAAAAAAATTGATATTCAATTCACTTTTTCTAATAAGCTGTTTATTTCTAATAATTGTGATGACCAAATCACGGATGACATTATTTTAGAATATTGTATTTTCGACATAGCTACCTTCAAATTAGAAATAAACAGCTTATTAGTAAAAGTAAATTAAAATAAATTTATTTATTTTTTTGCTAAAATCATCTCTTGAAATTTGGAAAATATGAATTTAAGGGGTTTTTGAGGATGCTAATTATTAATCTGATACAAAAAATTATCTAAAATAAGCCCTAATATCTTTTTCCCAAAAATACAACCCCTTTTTACCCCCCAACACCACACGCCATTGGTAATTAAAAATGTTAACTATATCAAATAGTAGATTTTTCTACCATACAATCACAACCAAAATATGAATAAAATCGCACTATTAATAACTGAGATATCAGGGTGAATTCATGAAAAGCGGGCTACTGTATAATAAAAAAGTAATGCGAAAACAGTTAAAAATCTTTGAGAGGTGACACAAAATAATAAAAACCTTTTTTTTACAGAAAGTTCAGAAAACGCAGTGGACTTTGTTTCATCGTCAAAGCCAATAAGAACTAAAAGTCAGAAAATTACAACTGATAGTAACAAGAAACCCATGTTTACCGACTGTGATAGCTATAATATGGCCCAGGTTAAGGAAGAACAAGATAAAGGCACATTTGTCATCCAGGTAAGATTTTTTTTTAGTGTATTCTCTTAAATAAGTTTAAATTATTATAAGGTGAACGCTAGAGATGATGATCCCCCGAATGCTGGTGGAACAGTTACCTACAAAATAGTTAAACGTGAAGGTGGCAGTAAAGATTACTTCACCATTGACTCTACAACTGGGGAAGTACGAACTAGTACGCCTTTTGATCGTGACGAACCTTTTAATCAAAAGGAAATGTATGTTACTATACAAGCAACTGATAATGGGAGACCTAAACTGTCAGATATTTGCACTTTTAAAGTAACGATTACTGATATCAATGATAACTCTCCACAACTTGACCAACAAGATTACATCGCACAAGTAGCTGAGGATTTGAAAGTTAAGAGTGAAGTTATGAGGATTTTTGCCTATGATATAGATGATGGTAACAACTCCAAGCTCACCTATGGATTTAACGTCAGCAATGACTTTTTAAACTTCTTTCGAATTGATCCTAATACTGGAGTTGTTTACCTTCAACAGTCTCTGGCAGGGGTAAGTGCCTATTATATGTATATTTATATACAATTTATCTATTTGAGGCGGATTTATGTGATTTTCAATAACATGTAAAACTTGCTTCACAACAGGATTTCAAAGAAAACAGATTGTTAAATTGAAATGTAATTACAAAAATTAGGAATTGTATATTGAGTGCGAAACAATGCCTGATTTAACAATTATTACCTTATTTGTCCACCAGGCTAAAAATCGTTTTTTTCCAAACGATTATCTTTTTTCGACAAGCCATTCTGCGTCCTAGCGTCTTGATAAAGGCGGCTTAATAGTTCACAATTTTATTTGAAGGCAGAAAAATTTTGGGAAATTTCATATGCACACTCATCTCTCTGCTGATTCAATAATCTTGCACTTGTGAGTGGCGTCGGCTTTTTCGCACAAAGTAATTTTCAACCTCCCTCTAAAAGTGTTATTCTAATACGTTGAAGAACCTTTAAAAAATATATCTAATGTTATATTACATTTTAGTACAAAAATAGCCGATTCACAAATCAAGTAGTGGTAAAAGATAATGGAGCTCTACCCAAATCAACAGATGCTCCAATTTCCATTGTAGTTGTCGGCTCAGATAAAAAATCCCCGACAATTGAAAAGCTCACCCCTGACGGAGTTTTGGAGCTGAAAGAAAACTTTAATAACTATTCAGATCATCTAGTGACAATTGTTGCAAGGTAAGTTTATATTTTCAATAGTTATGAACAAAGTATCAATTACAGTTGTAAGATTGAGATAAATAAACTATTTCCTGTTTTTGAAAACGTCTACAATGCTTTCTCAAACATAATCAAAGTCCTGAGAAAAAAATAAATAAAAATAAACTTGCAAAACTCTTGCCAGATGGTAACAATATTTTTCACAATTTTTGTTGCAAGTTTATTGTACATTGCACCTTTTCTTTTTTTTTCCACTTTCCCAACCTGTAGAGGTTCCAAACAATAAACTGGGATCACAGATGGAAATGAAGGAAGCCCAAAAGATTATCTCTGGGTAACCTCATATAAAATTTCTTTCAAAAACTTAAATACATACATGACTGACAGCAAAAAATTTGAATTTATTTATTTCAACGGATCTATCATTTACATTTTTAACAATTATATTAATCTAAAACAATAACATGTACAAATTTAGCAAAAATAACAGATACAATTGTATCACATTAATCATTGAATGTATCTAAGTAACAAAGTTGAGGTTGTAGCAAAAATAGAGGACCTTACATTTTTGTTCTTGAAAGGAAAGTTCAATAAACATACAATATCCAACTTCATTCATAAGATTCAAAATGTATTATAGGCATAAATGAGCCTCAACAAAGTTTTTACTAGTGTGTTTATTCCACGCATAATTTCAAGATTCTGTTCAGTATCATCTATATTTCAGTAGTTTTGTTATACATTTCTACGTTTTATAGCATTGTCATCAAAACGTGCTTATTATGCTTATCCGCATTATATTAAATTTTTTTAGGTCAAACATAGCAGATAACGAAATAGCCTTCGAACTTATTAAAGGTAAAACACCCCAGACTAACAAGGAGCAAACCTTTGCACTTACACCTAGTACTGAAAATACTTATAGTGCATATATAACATTGGCCAGGCCATTAGATTATGAAACTGTTACTGAATATTCTTTAAGTGTCCGTATTAAGAATAAAGATATTATGGACATTTCCATTGACATTCCAGTGAAGGTACTTGATGTTAATGACGAAGTACCTACTTTCATTGAATACCTGAAAGGAAGTGTGGTTGAAAATGATGATCCTGGTGCTCAAGCTATGGTAGTCAGAGCATTTGATAAAGATGGTACCTCTGAAAATAATGTAGTGAGTTACGATCTTCAAACTCATGCCGACGTATTTTCCATTGATAGACAATCTGGAGTAATAAAATCTTTGCAAGGATTTGATAGAGAACTCGTGAAAGTATATAACGTTAAAGTTCGTGCCTATGACAATTCACCTAGTGCCTTATTGAATAATGGAAGACCTAATGAGATTGTTCAGATTTTTCAAATAAGTATCGAAGATCGAAATGATAATGCTCCCAAATTTACTCAATCTGTCTATAACTGTACTGATATTGTAGAAAATTTTGATATTGGTAAAGACGTGGGAGAAGTTAAAGCGGTAGATCAGGATAGCGCTTCACAAATTATTTACAGTATTGTCGATGGCAATATAGGTGAAGCTTTTTATATTGAAAACACTACTGGTAGAATCAAAGTAAAGAATAAGTTGGATTTTGAGACAATTGAACAATATAAGCTTAGAGTTCGCGCCTTCGATGGCATCTTTGAAGACTTCGCCATGGTGCAAATCTTCATATCCAACGTAAACGATGAAAGACCTGTATTCGAAAAACACAATAAAACAATACACATCGAAGAAGAAACCATTCCAGACGGCTGTATCATCCATGTGAAAGCTTACGATCCAGACATAAGAGATAGGACGGCGGATCAACACATTGTTTATACAGTAGAAAATGATTTTATTAGAGTAACATCAGATGGATGCGTCAGCATCACCAAAAAACTAGATAGAGATAGGCCATTTGGTAGCCCTTCTAGGCAAGTATTTATTATTGCTTATGACAATGATGGTGCCCCAAATTCCATGTCAAATGCTACCGAAATAATTATCGTGCTCATAGATATCAACGATAATGCTCCATTTTTAAATGTCACTGAAGTAGTGTGGCCTGAAAATAAAGATCCGCACGAGGGGGACAATCAAATTACAGAATTAAGTGCGGACGACTATGATGGACCTGAGAATGGTCCACCATTTATTTACCAATTGGCAGATGAGGCTTCTGACGATATAAGAAATAAATTTACAATTATGGGCTTGACGCTTCACGCTTTAGTAATGTTTGACAGAGAAGAAAAGAAATACTATGATATTCCAATTCTCGTGACTGACAGTGGTAACCCTCCACTTTCCAAGGTTAGCATTTTGCGAGTTGTAATAGGAGATGTTAATGATAATCCAGCAAAAGATGGGTCCAGTGAAATTTTCGTCTACAAATATGAAAACTGGAACAAAGACATTACAATTGGCCGGGTCTACGTAGAAGATCCTGATGATTGGGATTTGCCAGATAAGATATTTTTGCAGCTGGATTATTACGATTTATTCTTATTATCTAAGCACGACCCAGGAATGATAATTATGAGTAATGGTATATCAGAGGGTAAATACTTTTTACGCTTCAATGTAACTGAAGAAAATCTCCCCCTCATTCCTCGTCACACCGTTTTCGCAGACGTCACAGTAACAGTTAAAGAAATACCGCAAGAAGCTGTAGTGAAATCAGGATCAGTTCGCATAGTTGGATCAAGCATCGAAGAATTTGTTGAAAAATCATTTACTGTGAGTATTTTATACATTTTAATTTTTCCATAATTGGTTATAACTTTATTTATTTTTAGACGAATTTGAGCAAAAAGGACGAACTTCAGCAACATATCGCGGAAATCGTGAACACTTCTGTAGCTAACGTTGATGTTTTTACTGTAATGACGACTCCTTCAAACAGTTCATTAATCGATGTTAGATTTTCTGCACATGGATCACCCTATTATGCTCCAGAAAAGTTGAACAACAAACTTACAGATTATCAAGAAAAAGTGAGTATTCTGCATTGTTTTGGAGAATAAGATTAGTACAATTTAAAAAAAAAATAATGCATTTTACCACAAATTTGGGGTTGTGATAAAATACATAAAAATTCATGTCAAGGCGAATATTATTTCCATATTACATATACCTATATATTCCTTCATTCCATTTAGCTGGTTAACGACGGTGCTCCTCAAAGACCTGTCTGCTTGGTCACCCCATTTCTGATACACATTAATTACTTTTTGGCTCTAGGAAAAATTGCATTATACAGATCATATAGGCCGCTGTGATAAGCCTCACCTCCTGCTATGGCAGAGCGGATGAGGGTACAACCGATAGAATCAAACCAAGTTTGTGGAGCATGTAGTTGACGAATATGGCTTTGTCAATTACATAAGTTTTACGACAATAAAGCTATTTTTGTGATTAAAAGATTTATGCTTTGCAAGTGAACTCTTTTTCAATTATTCTACATGAGTGTTTTCAAAAACCAAATTCACCCTTGTTATCCCCTAAAAAATAGTTTTTTTAGGCTCACTAACTGGTGTTTCTGGGATCATTCCATAGTTATTTTATGTCCTGAACCTAAAAGAAAAAATAGAAAAGTTGTCACTAATATCATTCAATCTTGATTAATTGTTTTTTTTTTTTTTTTTCGAAATTTTAGCTGGAGATCGAACTAGACATGACTTTTGAAATGATCAGCATAAACGAATGCCTCAACGAAAATACATGTGGAATTGGAAACTCCTGCTTCAATAAACTAAATATCAGCGACGATGAACCGGCTGTAGTATACACAAATAGAACTTCCTTTGTTGGGGTCAAATCATTTGTTGAGGCCAAATGTGACTGTATTGACATCATGCCATCTACTTGCTTGAATGGAGGTATAATGGACGAATATACTGGTATATGCTCTTGCCCTGTAGGCTATGAAGGACCCTTCTGTGAAATATTATCTGTAGCGTTTTATGGAAATGGGTGGGCAATGTATCGCGGCTTTGAAGCTTGCAATGCGACAGAAATTATATTATCAGTGGCGCCACGTACTGATAATGGACTTATTTTTTATGCTGGGCCTTTGACTTACCGACATGCTCTACTTTCTAAAGGTATATATTCAAGTAAATATGTATATAGAATATTTTATTACTGATATTTTTTAGAGTTTATGTCCTTGGAACTGCGAGATGGAGTGCCTGTTCTTAAAATTGATAATGGTTTTCACCCAATTGAAGTTCTAACTAAATATAATAATGGTCAAGCTAAAAGTTTAAATGATGGAGCCGCCCATAAAATTCGTATTACATTGGTTTACAGCAAAACGGAAACTGTAAGTTTTTTCCCACTAATAATGTTTGAACAAATTAATACTATGGATACTGTTTCAGAATCTGGAATTGGAAGTTGATGACTGCAAGAGTACTTGCATGCAATTCGAAACCTTACCAGCACGATTGCTTCGTATCAATGGTCCGCTACAAGTTGGCGGTTTGAGCAAAAAGTTTTCCGAAGAACAATATAAAATGCTATGGAATTCCATAGCCCCAACAGATGTTGGTTTTCAAGGATGCATTAAAAACTTGACTTTTAACAATAACTATTACAATTTGGGACAACCATCAGACTTTTTAGAAGCTATTCCCGACTGTAGCTATGGAATGCAGCAAGCTGTCTCATTTGGTATCGATTCCAACTTTTTAGTAGCCATTTTGGTCTGCGTTGCTGTTCTTATATGTAAGTATAATTCGAAAAAATGTGATGTTTATTTCACGAACACTACCATGGCATTTTGTATAAATGAAGTTGATGTAAAAAGGATTTCAATATACCAAAGTCGGTTGACGAAATCAACCCTGTAGAGGTCGAAATTTTAGAAGAGACATTTACTTTCTAGTAGAAACAAAAATAGTATTTGGGTGAACTGTCATAGGAACGATGGGTGGTTTTGAAGCTCTTTGATTGTTTATTTATCTTTATTTTGGCATTAGCAACTATTTCACTCCTAGATCCATCTTTTGTGACGAACCTGTTTTCCTATAATGGCTGGTTTGGCACAGGAGAAAAAAAAACACGAAGTTGGCATTATTGTTTTCAGGAACTCAATTAGCCATTCCGCACAATTTGAGCATTCCTAATTTTTTCTTCTAAATTCCTTCTTTGATTGTTCCAATATATGGATGTCCATATATAGGTTTGGACATAAATTAATGCTCATAATTCTTTCCAGGGTTTCGGTGGTGTTAATTGAAACCTTTTTACAGGTTTTTAAGTTCCTTGCTCCTAATAATTCTGCTATATAATGATTTTTGTTGTAGGCTTATTATTTCTAATTTAGTTACGTACTCTGTGATGGGTCTTATGACTGCCTTATATAGGTTTTAAGTTATTTGTTCATTCACTTGATGTCTCTGGAACATTCTAGGTTTCGATATGCTTGCATCGTTTGGTTTGTTCTCTGACTTTCAGTAGATTTCTAGCACTCGTTATTTCAGCTGGTGAAAAAAATATCTATTTGCAGAGCATTCTTTGAATTAATCTCTAATTTACATCTGGTTTGCTCTTTAGATTTGACTAGACATTTCGTTGTCCCTATGTTAATGATCATAATTATTTGTTTTGATGTTTGAGTAGAGAGTTGTCTCTGTAGGCCGCCTTCTGAGCCTAAGTAATAAGTACCACATCATCACAGTGACAAACAGCATTGAAATAAGCTTTTCCCATTTGGTATTTCGTTGTTCTAACTATAGATTCTCAACTATTTTGCCCTCAGCTCCTATTCAAGTATCTGAGTTATGCCTTTCAACACTTTATTTCCAACTTAAGCATCTCCCATATTCATGATTTTATCTCTTCTGCTGATTTTGTTGACTACTGTTTGTATTTTTTTCGTAGATATTTTCTCTAACCTCTCGTTCCTTGCTTATGTGGACTTGAATTGATGTATTCATAATTTGCTGTTGACATTTTTTGCCGTAAGTGTGCCTTCTCCGGAATGTCCCCTTTTATCTTGTGAAACTCCGCTAAATATAAAGGTGTATGTGTCAATGTTGCACTCTTTTTTTTTTTTTTTTTCATTTCCGATATTTTCTCTTACCCTTTGTTCCTTGCTTATGTTGACTTGAATTGATACATTGGTAATTTGCTGTTGATATTTTTTATCGCAAGTGTGCCTACTCCAGAATATCCCCTTTATCTTTCTTTCTTTTTTTTTGTTTATTTAATTTTCGGACCATATTTCTCTGTTATTGTTAATTTATTGATTATATTGATCCTCTTTTCTTAATCTCGTCAGTAACTCATATTTATGCTTCCTACACATTTATCTGCAGGCAAAATAATGTTTGTTTTGTTTGGTTAAATGTTAAATACTGGCATTTAATTTAGATAGACCACTTCTCATCAGTGCTATTCGAAACTCATTGAGAAAGACAAATTAATTCATTGGGCTCTTGATAATTATTTTTTACATTTAAGCCACATGTTGCTTCGAAGGTTCTTCTACATTCTTCACAAATAATATCTGTTTTCGCCACAACTGGAACACATTTTCATGACACTATGTTAAGAGATTTTTGCTTTGGCTCACCTTTAGATTTAAACATGTGGTATATTGTTTTTTCGTAAGATCTTTATTTCAAATTCCAAAACAATTGAACCTGTTTTCATGAATTGAAGGCTTATTAGTTGGAGACGTCCACTTATTTTTGAGCTTAATTTTTTGAAATTTGGATAAACAAATCCACAAGAAAACTTTCTTCTGTGCCAAACTATTGACCTCAAACACATAACACATTATTTATTTTTTCAGTGCTTTTATTGGCAGTAGTTGTCCACAGGCGTAAGCATGACAACTTAAATGAAAAAGACATTGATGATACCACAGAAAACATAATTAATTATGAAGACGAAGGCGGTGGTGAATGCGACGCTCACTTCAATTTGTCAGTATTTCCCATGGCACCTACTAAAGAAGGTATCCAAAGGTCAGAAAATCCAGAAGTCAACGGAACAGAGCCCGACATTAGTGTTTTTCTCGATACTAAAAAGCATTCATGCGATAAGGACCCGGAAAATCTTCCATATGATGACGTTAGGCATTATGCTTATGAAGGAGATGGGAACAGTACAGGTTCTCTTTCTTCGCTTGGTTCCTGCACTGATGATGGAGATCTAGACTTCAATTATTTATCTAGTTTTGGCAAACGGTTTAGTAAGTTAGCTGACATGTATGATTACGATGGTAGCGACGACGATACACAAAATGGCGGGGACGAGGCTTGGTGTTAGACTTTAAAACAACTGCCCCGAAATATTTTGTACTTAATTTAACTGTGTCTGCTGACCAAAGATTATTTGGGTGGTACTAAGCTAAGCGGCGACAGTCGTCTTTGTACATATTACTTAGTTTTATATATTATACATTATACATGAATACATAATGACTGACATAAATTGCGCCTTAAAGTATTCCAGATTCAAAAACATTTCCTGTGCCAAATTATTGAATTTAAAATGGGGCCATAATTATTTAACATACATTCCGAACATAATATTTACAAGACTGTCTGATTTATTTAAATTACTTACAAATTAATTTTACCTGATACGACAAAAGTGATTTAAATCGTTAAAAAGTTAATCAAATGTCCCATGACAAATATTATTTATTGGTGCTATAAGTTTCCCTAAAAGCCTAAGTGCTTACGCTGACCAACCTGCAGAGGGTTTTTAACTTAGTCCAATATGTATACAGTGGCCTTTAAAAAGTTGCAAGTTGCAATAATTGTGTTTAAAATAACACAAAAATTAGAACTCTCTGTATGGTTTTTCACGAATACGTCGACATTGTAACACTCTTATATTATATGTTTATTAGAATATAATATTTTTTTTATTTCATAGGTTATGTATGTACATAAAGTACCTATACATTTTTCGTGATCATATATTTTTTCGTTTTAAAATAAATGAGTGTTTTCAACTGTTTCTATTTTGGTTGTGGTAGAATTGAAAATATTACCTATGTTAAATGAAATCAAAATGTTTTCCATCTCTTCCTGTTGATTAGTAAATTTTATTTAAAATAAGTAGTATCCTATATAAATATATGAAAATTTAGCTAACGTTGCTTCAAATATTTTAATTGGCTTTGTGTCAATTTGGAGTACTCAAGAGGGGACAACTAGCAATATTCGACTTCATGAGCTAAAAACTAATTTTGAAATTTTTTTAAAAAAGAAAAAGCATACCTACTACATACTAGTAAAAAACTCACACATTTACCAAGCTCACTGCCACCTCTACTCGGAGTGACAAGCCCAGAGGACATCGCGGCTGATGCTGCCCATTAAGACAATTTTATACCTTTTAACAAGCAGGTCACTGTCTCAAAATATTAGGTGTGTTTACACCACCTTCAAGTATATTAAATAAATTACACAAACATATTCTAATTATTCTCTTTCGAAGAGACATTCAATAAAAACAACTAAGAAAAAATTTGAAATACGTACCATATTGTTTGGTGCTTGGTCTACCTTTTTTCAAAATTTCAAGAAAAAAATTAAAAATTGTTTCAAAAATGAGTTGTCCTAGTTTCAGTACTAAAATATCATGCGTTAAATTGACACCAAGCCAGCCAATCACTTCATTAGACAAATTTGCAGCACTATTAAAAATGTATTATTTTTAGGTTTTTGTTAGCTCTTTGAGTTTGTTTTTATAGTTCTTGAGTGTCCTATTAAAAAAAAAAAAAAAACAGGTATGTTTCTCCTTTTTTTTGCCAATATACAAGACGCTTTAGATTGTAGAAACTAAACAACTTTAGCAGGTACCCTGTATAGAGGCACCCAAGAAAAACAAAAACAAAAATGTGATATATGAAAATTAGATTATATATGCAAATTATTATATAATATAAATCTAAGTCTAAAAAAATCTATTTTGTATTGAATATTTGAGTTGCTTTTCAAAATGTACTGTTCCAGTTAAGTAATAAACAATGGTTTGAACATAATCTAAGGTTTACATATTTTTTTCGGAAGCGTTCATTCATTCAGAACAGCATTTATACATTTTGAAAAGTAGCCATTGACAGTTTTTCCTAGTGTAATTTAATACTAGTGTTATTAGGTAGCTAACCCAAACTATTCCGCCCTTTACAATTAGCTAATACAACACAACCCCCATATGTATTTACATAATATGGTGAGAGTGGAGAATGATGAAGTTTAGAGCTTCTCAATCTGAGGAAAAAGCTTCAAAATTATAAGCAAAAAGCTCAAATAATCACAACATTAAGTCATTATCAATTAAAACGCTAATTTCAAGTGGGGGAGAACCACCTACAGTGGCCTCATTTTTACTTTTAAAGCTACAACTTCACTATTTTGACTATTTTAATGTCCGGAAATTCATTTCGGATAATTTAATTATTTGTCTAGAAGACTTCCTATATAAATTTCGTAAAAAGAATCCTTTATAAAAAAATTACCCATTTTTAAATGTGGCCACCCCATATTCCAACAATAGCCACAGCTTTTTGGGAAAATTAAACTATACTTATAGCTTCATTGGACAGTTGGGGCGTCGTTGCCGATTTATAATAATTATAGATTACTGGATTTTATTTTATTTTTACACTTTTTGTGTTTAATAGCAATTAGAATCACTATTGGTTTATTGTTTATCTCCTATTCTCCATTCTTGAAATAGTAGGGCTATCAAAATTGGTCTTTCCTGGCCTTGAGAAAACTAAAATATATTGAAAATTATCTATTTACACTAGTGGCTGTGGAAATAAGTCTTATAAATAAAAAGATATGTCAGCTAATAAATACTTAAAATGACTGCTATTTTTCTTGAACGAACATATTCTTCGATTTAGTATTATATCTTATTGGTTTATATTTGAATATTTAGTATAAACGAAATATACATTTTTGTGGTGCCTTATAATAAATTGATTTATTCCATTCGTTCCTAGGCCTTCTATTGAGACAACAATAATATTGAATTAGAAGATTGTCTATTGTTTGATAAAGCTGCAATATTTTTTCTCTATAATCATTTGTTTCGCCAACAAATTATTATAAATTAGTGTTTCTCAGCCAATGTCTAAATTATTTGCATGTTGGCGTAAAGTTCAATATAATGCATGCTTCATCGTTCAATACAAAGACTTAATTTGTATTGTGTGAATGGTGGTGCCACACAGTTTAGAATAAGCTAAAATATTTTTGTATTTTTATGCTCAAATAAAGATAGAAAGTAGTTACTATTATGATACACATTTTTTTAAAAAAAACAGTCTACTGTGTGCATGAGTGAGCTTAGATAAATAATACTGTGACAAAAAAACGCATCATCCCATAGAAGTAAATATTTGTTAACCAAATTCTGTACATATGCTTGGCTTATTGAAAGTAAAATGTAATTTAATAAAAAATATTAAAATAAAGTAAAATTTAAATAATCCTTATTTTTTACAATATTAACATATGTAGAAAATTTGTTAAAAAATATACACTTTTAGTGGGTGATCCTTTTTTTGGCACATAGTATATTAAAATCAACAAGTATCTACATCTTTGTGTACTATCTTTGTGTTTTTTTTGGCAGCTATAAGAACATTATTTGAACTATTAGATGACACTTTTTTGAGTATGGTAATTTTTTTGTTTTCAATTTAATGCATTCCTTTCGTATTTAGGTTAGTTTTTCTTTGTGAGGAACTTTTAAAATTAATATTATTTTTTTTTAAATTATATTTTCTTAGATCCTTCCTGTATTTCCAACCTTCAAAAAGTATTATGTTCAATAAATCTAGTAATAGAATGTCCGTACTTCTTATATTATATTTCTCACTTATTATTTAATAGTAGCCTATTATATTTATAAATTTACGTCTTTCGCATCAATAGTTTTAGAAATAATTCAAATTTAGTTTTAAAACACTGCCATTTGTAATTCGTTTTTTTTTTTCAATAAATATATTTTACAGGATAATTGGTTTTATTGTATTCACTGTATATACACACCTTAGCTAATTCAAATAGAAATTGATTTTTTTTTTGCTATACCGACAAGTTCGCATTAGCCATTTAGATATTTGAACATTCACCCAATCTAATCTGCTTTAAAAAAATTCAGTAGTTTTCCATATTTTTAGCTAAATTAAATATGATTAAATGGACCTAGGCCATAACCGATCACTTATGTGTCAAATTTTGACGTAGATCAGTTTATAGACCACTTGAAGGTAAATATAATTTTCATATTGGGTAAATATTTTTTTTCAGGAAAATCAAACCAATGTACTTCGTGTAAATTAATTTAATGAGTAGCTTAGCAGACCACTTTCGGCCTCTCGGCCATCCCCAGTGCTAACTGAAACGGAGAACAACGATCTGTTAAAGTAATCTGTTCCCTGAAGCAGTGTGGTTGTGTACAGCCACAGCCTCCTATAGTTAACAAGCCATGAAATTGGAAATGACGGCAACGTCGCGTATGGTGCTATTTTGTTATTCGGTTATGTGTTTCTGTGTATTGCTTTCATTGTGTATTGTTGCAATTTAGTATTTTTATGGGCATTATTGACGAAAAAGTGGATAGAAACACACCAATATATTGCCCATATTTAGTTGATACCTGTTCCTTTGTGCTTTGATTGCAAATTTTTAGCAAATGGGTACAGGAGCAAAAATGAAGGTAAGGTAAGGTAAAACAATAAAAACAATATTAATATTTGTCTGCAAGAGCATAGGTCTTGATATATTACCTAAGATATTTAAACTTGTTCCAGATGCCATGAAACTACTGTGTTCCTGGGTGCAAATCGAACTATTAGGAGTTCCTTAAAAACTGAAGAAATGCAAACATTTTTATTTCCAAAAAAATTCTGAAGTGCAAAAAATGTGGATGAAAGCAATACACCAAGATAATTATACCCGAGATTATACAATAACGAAAAATTCTGTGGTGTGTTGTAAACATTTTGAAGAAACCGAAATAATTAGATTTGAAACAAACAAGGATAAAGGCTTAGTTCGAGAGTTCAAACTGAAACGTCCAACTCTTAAAAGTAGGTACCTCTTATTTTCGAAAATCAGCTCAAGTATTTGAATGGACTTGCCTTCCGAAAAAATCCCGAAGAAAGAAAAAGTTAGATTTTCAAAAGACATACTGAAACATAGGCCTATAACACTTTAGACTCTAGAAATATATTCATTTAAATCAATTATTTACTGTTCTTATTTACACAAATAGTTAAATTATTCATTGAATTACTGTTTTTGGCCCTTTAGTACAATAAATTATGTATTTTTTGTGATTCATATTAATAAAATAAAAAATATATATTTATACAAACAAACACCACCAGCACCACTTGGCGGTAAGATTGCGGTGTTGCCTTTTTAACTTCATGGCTTGTTAAATGTAGGGGGCTGTGGTACAGCAGAAGTAGCACCATATCAAAATTTGAGGGAGAAGGTTGTACTCACTTGTAAGTTAAAGTGCACAGGAACCACTGAATGGACAAATATAGCAATAAGCATACATTTGGTCTGTTCCTGCAGAAATCACAAACCAGTCAGAATAAATTTCAATGGTTGAAATTAGTTTTCTGACTGTTTTCAACCAATGAAATTCGCTCTGACTGGTTTGTGATTTATGCAGAAAGAGACCTATTGTAAATAGTGAAATATATGTAAAAATTGTAAAAATGACTGTACACATTAAAAATCGCGACGGACCATTTGCTTCTAAGCAAAAGGTAGAAGTATAAGCAAAAGCTTCAAGGAAGAGGTAGAAGTAGAAGCATTTACTTCATATCATAGGAATAATGAAAACCTTTTCCGTGCGAGCATATGCTTCAAAAAAATGAAGTATAATATACTACCTGTTGTTTCAGTCGAAGGCTCGAATGTCGAAGTAAACCATATGATAACATATAACATCACTGGACTTTGAAATTCCATATGAAGTGGTTTTAAAAGAAGGCCAATCATGGAAGAACGCAAAGCTACCGCAAGCGGACAACGCATCATTGTGGTACACAGTCACATAGATGGTTCGAAGCTAATGGAAGGAGTCTGTCTGGGAATAACTGGACCAAACTTTTTAAAGTTTATTAAATTCTCCTTAGCAATGAGTAAAACGCCCACAAAATTTCAAGCTAATGTACTGGTTATAAACATCTGTGGCCAAGAGTGTCTTAAAAGAGGCCTTTCAAGGGAGCACCTTTACATACTGTGCGACAGTCAGAGGCCGAAAGCGCTATGCTAAGCTATTTATCAAATTAATTTGCTCGAAGTACATTGGTTTGATTTTCCTGATCCTTCGACGAGCAACACAGCCACTCACTAGACTTATATATTTTTTTATTGGAATCGTTGAACCAGTGTGGTGTAATTTTTGCGATTATTTACTCACAAGCCGAGCTACCCCACATATTTCATTCAAATTTTTATAGGTTTGTAGGAAAATAATGTAACCAAAAACCTCAGTTAATAGAAACTTTTGTGTGTTACAAGTTAGAACAAAAAGATGTATGAAATGAAATGCATTATAAAATAGTAAATGTTTATTTCAGTAATAATTAAAACAAAATCTCGCAGTATAATAAAAAAGAATAATGGGCATTTCAATATGAGTAAGGATGTTGAAATTATTTGCTCCACTACTGAATACTTAACAGATTATTGTACGATATTACAATTCGCATATGGACATTAAAGCTCACTAAATAAAGTTTTTACATGTTCTATACAATATAATATACAAAAATAATTTAGTCTAGTGTAATATTAAAAGAAATGTTCAGTGTTAATCAGAGAATGAAAAGGTTTTAAATAGAATAATTGCGTTTATCCCTCATTTTAATGAAACTATGAATTGGCTATTCAAAAGTAATAAGTAACCTCCATAATAATGAATTTCATCAATTTACATCATGATTTACGGTTTTTGAGAGGGCGGTTTGTGAATAACCCTGTAAACTGTGTAAGTACCCAGGGTTGACCATTTTGTAACAATGACTTCCTAGTAAAATTTTAGTTCACAAATATACCTAGCTGGTGGTGTTTTTGAACAGGACTAGTGTCGTTTACATCAAAAAGTCATCTTAACCCTTTAGCAAGGATAGCAAAGAGAAAAAACAAGTATGTATTGTGCAAAGGTCAACCCAGAGTACACAAAGAATACAATACAGTACAATTTTGGTAATCCGGACGCACGCTTATCCAAACGCAAATCATGATGCAAAATAGTATGTATAAAAATCAATAAACATAGATCTAAAAATTTGTATCTGTGTGTGGTTATATTAGTTAATTCAACAAAAAATCTGACAATTAGGTGTTCGGGATAAGGAGGCTGCACTATATATGTAATAAGAAATACAATATTATCTCACTGACAACTTATCTAATTCATATAATAAGAATAAAATTAAGTTTATTTAAAAACACTTCTTTTCTAAACTAAGCAGCTAGATATATTGTGTCTTTGCATAATAATATATTAATCCATTTAATAAATGACATCTTTATGTTTCACATTGTTTCGCATACTTTCAATATTTTCGGGGAAATTTAGCAGTGTTCTAAAAATAAAACTCACACATTTTGTAATATTGACAATTACATATTCAAAAAAAGTCGCTTTCCAAACCCATTTCTTCAAGAAAAAGCCCCATCGGGGATTTTTTGAGTCCCATTACTTCAACTTTGTTGGCAATTTTATTTTTTATGTTCCTTAATCTCAGAGAAGCATGCACAAAGACAGCTGAAAATTTAAAAAATGGTTAGTTACACTCTTAGAGGCTTATTCTGTAACTTGTCGTTATATAACGATATCGCTGTCGTAACGACTGACTTGGTAACGACAATTTTAGAAAAGCTATTCAATAACAAAGCCGTTAGCTTCCGTTGTCGTTATCGACCTAACGACTACAACTTCGTTCCACTTTACTTGAATAGGGTGTATTCATGGCAATGATCTTTAAATTTACATCAAAAATTAGCTGACAATTGATGCTATAAAAATTATTTCTGTTCACAAGGACGACAGCAGGGTGGCCAAGTTGAAAATGCGTTAATGTAACAATTTTTATGTGACTACCGTCGACAATAAACCAGCTATTCCTGGAATGCGAAAATTTGTAGAAAACCCATTTGGTACAATGGTACAACGGTTGTTTTTTGGCGATTCTGAGGAAATCGAATACACACGTTCGCGAAATTGTCCCCAAGTGCATCTACCACCTCATGGATATAGCAGACAACATTGCTTTGTGATGATGTTGCAAATCGACTAGAACCAAGTGGTTTCTGGTAGCGGTGGTAGCTTCCTTTTGCCAAACAATTGTGTGAAAAAACTGAGCAGTTTCGATGTCTGGTCTAAACATTCGATGAAAACCTTCCTCTGGCAATTCCAGGGTATTGCGTACATGTCTATGGAAAAACCTCCTTGCCTTAAAAAATATTCAGCCAGTTCCTGTTTGATAAAAGTAATCTCTTGCCGTTTGCGAACTTCATCAAGAGGAACTTCTACTAATTCAGGATCCATTATCAATTAAAATCGCCAGTAAAATATACAGAAAACACTACCAGTATGCAACTGTAACGATCGTTATGCTTCTAAAGAGGGCCACTGGGCTGTCGTAATCTAACGACGCTTTTGCGTCCATTTTATCGTTACAATAACGACAACCGAAAGTCACTGAATCGAGAAAGTCTCTTATGGCCATTTCCACCAACTATTTTAGGGTAGCCCTAACGATAGATATGCCTTAGATTGACATTTCTCCATGTAAAAATGTCATTTTAGGGAATACTTATCGTTAGGGCTCCCCTAAAATAGTTGGTGGAAACGGCCATAAGAGGCTTATTCGGTAACTCGTAGAATGTCGTTATTCAACGATTGTCGTTAGCTAACAACTTTTACGATTCAGTAGCTTACGGTTGTCGTTTATTGTCACTATAAAATGGACGCAAAAGCGCCGTTACATTATGACAGCCCAGTGGGCTGTTTTTACAAGCATAAAGTTTTTTTTTATGATAATAAATACATTGCAATAAAAATAAACAAATTGCTATGGAGGGCAATGAACCCAACGAGGACCAATGCGTGAAGTGTAAGAAAAACTGTGAGGAAGAATATTATAACTGTGACTCCTGCCTGAAAAGAATTCACAGGAAATGTTCAAATATTGCACCATCTGAAGCAAGGTGTATGCCCCTTCAAAAGCGGATGCTACTGTTGATATGTGAAGAATGCAAATCCCTAATTGCAAGAATGCCTTTTATTATAAGGATGTTGGAAGAAATACAAAGAGATGTTGAAGCCCTAAAGACCGCTAGGCCAAAAGAATCATATGCAGCAGCAGTAGTACGGAACGAGACAAATAGAGAGGGTGATAGGACATGCCCGCCCACAATTATAATCAAACCTAAAAAAAATCAAAACCCACAGGAGAGTAAGAGTGAAATTCAAAGATCAATTAACCCATCAACGCTTAAATTGGGAATAGGAAATATAAAAGAGACAAAACAGGGAAATATAGTTGTGAAATGTGACACTGAACAGGATTTGAAACACTTTAGTAGGGAAGCAGAAGATAAACTAGGAGAAAACTATTAAATGGAGCTACCAAAGAAATATTTGCCCAAAGTTAAAATAGCAGAGTACAGTGGTGGAGAGCCACTGGAAATTATAGAAGAAAAAATTAGGAATCAAAATAAATGGATAAACAGTACTGAAGGGTTGAAAATCACATACATCAAAAGCAAAAAAAATGCTGAAAATTCAACAATTCATGCAGAGTGTTCAGGAACACTTTTCAACAAAATGATAGCGCAGGGAAAGATATATATCTGTTGTGGAAACAGCCAAACATCATATTTATTTTTTATGATCACAGTGGCAACGTTGCAAAAAAGCCCCCCGCCGTGAAAAACTTGCGAAATGGCGCCGTACCAGGCTGTACCGTATCGATCCAGTCTGGTTGTTTGTCGCTAGGGGAAAAAATGCATTCCCTCTCTTTTTCACTTCGCAGTGTGATTTGTGATTTTAGTAGTGTGGTTTCACTAGCAGTAAATAGTGCGTAAAAACGTCTAGCTCTATACAAGTTTGAACCTGCTCACTTTTCTCTAATTATTTAATTATTCTCTCTAGTTGCACCCTTGTGCAGTCTCTCTCTCTCTCTCGCTCTCTAAATAAAAAGACTTATTTTTTTATCTCTCTGGCTGCTGGCTTGAAAACTCAAGTGATATAATATCGCGTAAAACATTGAGTTAATCACACTCCCCTTTTTTAAGGGCTCTCTAAAAATATAAAAACTCTCAACTCCCGAAGATTTCTATTAAGAATAAACTTTATCTTGTGCTCTCAATTAAAATATTAGCGTTCCGCTAATACTGACAATTATTGTTAAATTGATTATTGAGCACTTAGCAACTAGTGAATTTATACCGATTAGTGAATGTTCTCGAATAACTCAAATGCGACTTGTTAACTAACCTGTGAATAATTAAAAGTACTTGAATGTGGTTACAGTACTTATTACTTTATTAAACGATTATTTTGGCAACAATAGAGAGATATAAAACTGGAAGTGTGAGTGCATTATTTAGCAGTGACATTCCCATCCCCTTTATGATCCAGTGATCTATCCCTAAATTAAATGTTGACACCTCAGTTAGAGGCCCTAACAATATCAACTGGCAGCGTCTGCCTGTGTACGAAGACTTGACAGTGTCCCGTTGTTTCAGGTGTCAGGGTTTCAATCACAAAAGTGCGAAATGCAGCAAGGAACAAGTTTGTGCCAACTGTGCCGGAAGTCATGACTCTGAGTTCTGTGAAGGTATAATAAAAAAATGTGTAAACTGTCGAGAAGCAATTAAAAAATATAAACTACAACATGATACAAATCACTCAGCTCTGCATAGTGAATGCCCATCCCTAAAATATCGTTTAAATTTATTGAAGAACAAAACAGACTATTATTCTTAAAAAATGGTAATACACGACGAGGACGAGATTCTGGAAGACATTGGAAAGAATGATATCCAAGATAAAATTGTGGGGCTGGAAACACTGCAACAAATTGATGCAAATGACTATCTGTTAAGTGTAATGCATTTTAATATTAGGAGTTTTAACAGAAATATTGATAACCTAAGTAATTCTATTTCTAGAAACATACAAGCTATATAACATTGATATCATTGTTTTGAGTGAAACCTTTCAAATTGATTCTATCGAGAACTGTAATATCCCAGAATATCAAATTTTTTATAACCAGGCAAAATATAATAAAAACGAGGGAACAATAATATTGGTTAAAAGGTAAATGTTGATTTCTCATTCTCTCTTCTACCAAACGCTAAAGCCACGGTTAGTAGAATACAATTTCAAATAAGAAACATGACAATTGGACTGACAACAACTTACAAACCACCACCTATCTCAAAAGTAGATTTTGTGAATGACTTACATGCTTACCTAGAATCCTTAACCAGCCTCAATATTGAAATATTTACTGGGGACATTAATATAGACATCTTAAATGATAATGACAATCAAGTAATAAACTATATTGGGATGATGAATGTCATGGGGTTTCAAAGCTATATTAATTCTGTAACAAGACCAGCCTCAAAAACCTGCCTCGATCATATTTTTGTTAAAAAAAAGCTAAACGTAAATAAACTCAATTTCAAATCTTATATTATAGAAGAGGATATAACTGATCATAATTCGATTGCACTATTTATAAATCAGGAAAATTAGAAAAAATTATCAGAAAACAGTTTTAAAAACAAAGTTGGATGTTTTCAAATTCAAGCAGTTATTGCGCGTTTTCGATTGGTCCGGTGTAAAAAATTAAAGTGATCCGGAATCTGCTACAAACTTATTTTTGGACATTTACCGAACATTGTTAGAGGATGCAACGGAAACTAGATATGTAAAAATGAAGAACTATGGAATTGTCACTTCAATCAAAATCCGAGATAGAATGAAAAAGAAATTAATAAAAAATTATGATGAGCGACTGGAAAAGCAGTACAAAGAATATCGCAATAACTTGAACATGTTAATTAAAAAACAAAAAAATGATTACTATAAACATAAAATTGAAGTTAATAAAAATAACATAAGAAAATTATATATAGTAATAAGAGACGCAACATATGAAAATAAAGGCTTTGGCAATCTGTTAAATATAAAGGACAACAATGGACAGGAATTTATTGATGAGAAGGAAATGGCCAATTTTTGCAATGATTATTTTATCAATGTCGGAATAGAAATGGAAAAAGAAATCCCCCAACCACAAAGACCTTGTAACGCAGAAACACCTGTGAGCAATTCCATACACCTAGTGTTACTTAATATCCAGTCTGTTAGAAATAAGGTTGATGAATTGGTGTTATTTTTGGAGTCTTTGAATTTTCCGGACATCGTTGTTTTGGTGGAACACTGGCTTAGATGTGATGAACCTCTTGGATTTGAGAATTATTCACTGTTGTCGAACTATTCTCGGAAGCAGTATGCACATGGTGGAGTGTTGATTATGATGCAGAATGACTTTCTCAGCAGGTTTGAGTTTACTTCAATTGAGAGATTTGATCATCTTTTAGAAGAGAGAGTTTTTGAAGTTTCTGTTGTGTATTGTAGTCGTTTTAACTTGTATGTGTTGGGGATTTATAGATCTCCTTCTGGGAATATTCAATCATTCATTAATAAACTAGAATCTCTTTTGATTGAAATTCGACTTAACA